CTCATCTATCAGTGTTGTGTCACAGTTTAGTTGGGCCAAATTTGAGTCGAGGCAGTGCTGACAGACCTCACAGAGCCCTGAGAGCTTTTTCAGAGTTCTGTAGTGTGCTTTCAGGGAGTGTTCGAGTTCTGTTTGGTAACAGTGTCTGGCTCTTGGAATATGGCAGGAAAGTAAACATTAGTGTGAAATAAATGGGAATAAAAATCAGCATTTTCATTCTGAGAAAGGAGAGTGGATATTGGGTAGGCAACTAGTGGACTCTGTTATGTATATGTGGTAGTTTTCTCCCAATTCCTTAATTTCCCCTTACAGTTGTCTAGCTTCTGAATTTTGCTTGTTGGGGGGTGGGGGAGGAGATGGGCAGTTGATGGTGGTGTTTGAAGGTAATGTATACTGAGAACAGCGAGCTAGGCCCTGTTTCATGCACTAGCGTTTGTAACCTTTACAACAAACCTTTGGACAGGTATCCTGGTTGTCCTTACTTTATTGATAAGGAAAATGAGGCTCAGAGCAGTTACATAACTCACCCAAGGTCACACAGCCGGTAAGTGGTAAAGATTGGATTTCAGCCCAGGATCTTCTGCCTTCACCGCCACAGCCCCGTACCCGGCTGTGCTGCTTCCCTGTTCTGTCTTCTCTTAGCCTTAATGGAAACGTTAAGTACATGGTGTTGGTTTCTTGGCCGATTTTATGTTATCATCTCCCTGCCGGCCTCTCTGAGCCCCGGCTACTTTACCTGGCATCCGTAGCCACTGTGTAGCCTTCGTCAAATCCACACTTTTCTCCTTTCTTCCTCTAAGCATTGTGTTTACTCTGTGTGTTGGCAGCAGAAACCGAAAAGGAAATGCAGAAAAAGCATCTAACGGTTTTCATAACGTAAACCAAATGTTGGTAGCGTGGGTGAGCTCTTGGGAGGAAAGGCGCTATATAAATCTGACAAATAAATAAATAACTGGTTCTTTAAATAAACTGGCACCGAAAAAGCCTTAATCTGTAACCTATTGAATTTAAGCTCACTTGATAGTCGGAAATCTCCTTTTGCTCACCAACCAACTACCAACTGTGAGTTCACTACGGCCTGAGGAGTTCTGCTGGGATGGCGGGTGTGGGAGGGAGGAGGGAGGGGGTGAGCAGAAGAAGGGGTTTGTGAGGAACCAAGCGGCTCCTCCACTGAAAACGATTGCCTGCCTCAGTAAACAAGAGGCATTTTGTCCTAGCCGTATTATATATACAACACATTCTTAGATACTTCAAAAGCATTGCGGAAAGGGGAAGGGGGTTCAAATGAAGGTCAGTGAGTAAAGTTCACAGAATGTATTTTGAGGACAAGAGCGGAATTACTTTACTGATCTCTGCAAATAAAAGCCATTATCAGCCACAAGCTCTGAGTGAATCTTTCTCCAAATATGTTGGTTTTGTGACCTACCCTTAAGATCCCCTTTGCCATGCCACTCCCTCAAAACAAACCAGGACTGAACCATCCCAATTATAGAATCTGTTCTGCAGATCCCCGGCCCCTAAGCTCCAAGCACCCTTAAAGTGGGACTTGAGGGAGGGGCAGGGGCTGCTGGCTGGTACCCATATGGAAGTACCTCTTCCTAAAGAGGCCGTACCAGGCCGACTCTAGAGTTTCATTCTGGAAGGTAAGAAGTTAGGCACCGGGAGGAAGTGAAGGGCTTGGGCCTGTCAGCTGCAGGGGCTCTGGTTACAGAACTGAGCGGTTCTGCGCCCTCCTTGAGCCATCAGAGGAAGTGATTTGTGGAGGTCACCTTTGAAGGAGCCAAGATGGTGGCAGAGGGGAGAGAATGTGGAAGATGGGTGCCTTTGTTACTGTTCCTTCCTGCTGGTGTAAGGTCTGATCTCGGAAGCTAAGCAGGGTTGGGCCTGGTTAGTACTTGGCTGGGAGGTTTGGTACTTGATAAAAATAAGGCCTTGAGAATATCTTCGTCTTTCTTTTCTGCCCACTTCTTCAGAATTCGCTTCAAAAAAGTCAGGCTTGCAGTGGGCCGCTGCTGCCTATATTCTAAACGTTAAGCCTAAACCTGGGTTTCAAATTTACACTTCTTCAAAGACCCTGGAAGGGTTTCCTTAAATAACAGCAACCTCGAAAATCCGCATTCCTGAAGGAGTTCCCCCGTAAGGCGTTCAGCCCCGCTGGGAAAGGCTCTCAACCCCGTGCAAACCTAATACGGTTTGTACAGCTTGTTCAGGACCTTGGCCAGGCAGATTCTGATGCCGTTGGCATCTGGGATAAAGGGACAAGCATATGTAAAACTCTTTGGTGATCTTCCTGTTATGACACGACCTCGCAGCACTGCTTTTGGTAAGGTAGTAGGGATCCCCACAGAGTGAGTTGAGTGCCTTGCTAGACCCTGATCTAAACAGTGTTTCCTCTGCATCCAAATCTCTTCAGGGGAAGATTTTGAGTCTTGATATTCCAGAAATCTGTTGGCCACCTGTTGCCACAGATTGATTCAAATCAAATTCAAGTTATTTTATGAAAGCTGTTCATAGGATTCAAGTGAAAATTAGAGTAAGACCTTAATATTACAGGATTCTATTGTTGATTTTAAATAACCCACTGGAATCCATTGTTGTAAATTTTTTATTTTTGAACCTGAACCTCGGCTCCTGCTTTCTACCCGAGGGCATATATTCACAGCTGCTTTTCTTTACGCACAGAGGTGAGTGTCTTATACATATTTCATGGATCGAGACCTCACCTTGAGGGTTGCCGTCTCGAACTTCTACACCCATCCTCCTGAAGTCTGTTAGTGCATACAGCTGTGGTACAAGCCATGCTTTGTAGACATGATTTTATTTTATCATTCCAGTAGCATTTTGATGCATAATGCATCCCCATGTTACAGATGAGGAAACTGAAGCCAAAAAAATTTGCCCTCTCTCACTTTCCCTTTTACTATACTGCCCTTCCAACAGAGAAAGTGCAGTTGACGTACTTTCGGATTTTTCTGACAGCTGAAGGATATTAATGCTATTCAATTAATAACAAAAGGCTTTTATTGTTCTGTCTTATTATATGGTAGTGTATATTTATTAAGCTGTAGATGAGCAAAAGAAGAAAATCCCCTAATATCATAACCAACCAAAGGTAAACAGTATTCACATTTACTTACGCAGCCCTCTCCAAGATTTGTACACCATACTTTTGTTCATAAATAATTTTTACTTTTGCAAAAATTTGATGTTCTTTGTAACTTCCACAGTATGTCAAAAATATCTTCCCAGGTTCTTACATATTTGTGTATTACATCATATTTGATTGTTGCTCTCAACTAAAGAGCTATATCACAATGTGCTTAGCCAGTTCCCTTGTTGGAGGGCTTGCACTGGTGACCATCCCTGTAACTAGATCTCATCCATCATATTTGTGATTTCAGTGCTTTTTATGTGCCAGGCACAGATCTATTAACTACCGATTCATCCTCCAAGTAACCAGAACAAACCTTTTCTCTCTCAGTACTTTTTTGATCACTAATGACGTTGAACTTCCCGTTTGTTTACGATCGTTAGTATTTCTTCTTTAGTGATTTTCCTATTTATGTCTGTCACCCATTTTTTCCTACTGGGATATTCATTCTCCACTGATTTTTAAAAGCTGCTTATGTAGCAATATCGCTGTACCTGTTAGAGATTTTTCTCCAGCTTGTTTTGTTTTTGGTTTTTGTTTCTGATGTGTTCTGACTGTTAGAGACATTCTCCTCAGTTTGTTTTCTTTTGATTTTGTTTCTGGTGTTTTTTGAACTGTAGAAATTTATACAATGAGGAATATCCATATTTATCTTGATGATTTCCACTGTTGGTATGATGTGTAAAAAGGTTTTCCCTCACTCAGATTATGTGTTTCCACATATATTTTCTCGGTCATTAAGGTTTCACATTGAAACCTTGAAATCCATGAAATTTATGTTGACATGTGGTATAAAACAGGGACCTTCCCCCCACTAATTTGAAATGCTAACCTTAACAAGTAGTAAACTTTAGAGTATACCTGAAAGTTTTTGACTTCCCATTCAATTCCTTAGATATACCTATCTTTCATTCCTTGTATTGCTGTTTTAATGATTGCAGTTTTAGAAAATTTGTGAATATCTAATAGATCGTTACTTCTTTTCAAAAATTGTTTACTATTTTAAATAAAGTATAGAATCATTTTATCAAGTTGATTGGGAAGGCATTGCTTTTAAAGAATAATTGTCAGTGAATCAATAGCTTCAAAGTCCTCTAAATGTTTTCTCTTTAATTAAATTCTCTTTCTTTTCCTCAGAAAACAGTTTTGGGGTGCCTGGGTAGCTCAGTTGCTTAAGCAACTGCCTTCGGCTCCGGTCATGATCCTGGAGTCCCGGGATCGAGTCCCTCATTGGGCTTCCCACTCGGCGGGGAGTCTGCTTCTCCCTCTGACCCTCCCCCCCTCACGCTCTCTCTCATTCTCTCTCTCAAATAAATAAATAAAATCTTTTTAAAAAAAAACAGTTTTAAGGTTTTATTCTTATATGGCCTACACATTTCCTGATTATTCCTAGAGATTTTCTGTTTTTCATTGCTTTATGAACAGGATTTTTTAAATCACATTTTCTAACTGGTCAATTTGTACTCTTTGGTCTTTAAAATTTGATTCTATCTACAGGTAAAAGAAGGAATGAACTAATAAACATATGTATATGTTAGTCCTATTTACAAGTAAGTGGTCTTATATATTTAGACACATAACCTGGCCCATCTGTACAGTGGGACTGTATGAAATAAACATGCACGGGAGACAAGAGGCTACTGTGTCATTGCTTTTTTGCCACTCCCTGACTCAAGAGGTCTGAAATATGCCCTCTAATTTTGGGAAGAGGGTAAAATGTTCAGAAATAGGCATTAATAAGTGCTTTGCAAATAATTTCATTTATCCGAACTTCTAATTCCCAGTGCTAAATCAGAGTAAGCATATATCATGTTCTTAGCTAACAACTATAACTACTTTCTTCTTGCAGATTTCAGAGACAACTGTCAGAACCCTGCCACCCCTTCCCTCCTCAGTCGGGAGTTCCTGGAGATAATCGCCCCAATTACCACCGGCAAATGTCAGAACCGATTGTCCCTGCAGCTCCCCCGCCCCCTCAGGGATTCAAACAAGAATACCATGATCCACTCTATGAACATGGGGTCCCAGGCATGCCAGGCCCCCCGGCACATGGGTTCCAGTCACCAATGGGAATCAAGCAGGAGCCCCGGGATTACTGCGTTGATTCAGGTTAGCACAGACTCATACCACTTCTCTCTTCGTTCTCTCATTGATCTGTCTGGTCGTTATTGTCTTATATGTACAGGGCTTTAGGGAATAGTTTTATAAAAAATCACCCTCAAAGAACTTAGGAGCTACTAAAGCCGACTTGTTCCTTCATAACTAAATACAAAACAAAACAGAAAAGCCATCCAGTGGGAAGAAGTGCAGTAGTTTTTCAAAAGTGGTGGGGAGCACACCTCTGAGTCCAAGCCTAAAGACCCAATCGTGGCGGTGCCCTTTTTAAGACCTGTTATCTAAGGGTCACTGGACCTAGGAAATATCATTTCTGCATTTTAGTCCTTGCCCCTAGCTTTACGGCTTTCCTTTTGAATAGAGTAGACTCACAAACTCCCAATATGAGCATAAGGAAGAGAGTCTTACACGTAGGATGGGATTCTTTCTATTCTTGAAATGAATGGTATTCTGAGAAATCACCTAGTATGTCATGACTGTAGGGGGTGCTGGGTACAACATGGAAAAGGCTGTCTTGCTGATTGCCTCATGGGATTCACTGCCCTATTGGATTGCTTTCATCTGGGCAAGTTCCCGGTGGCCTTCACAGGCTGCTGATGTACACAGGGAGAGGTAACATCAGGGCACCCATTGTCTGGTTGTGGGTTACCTCTTGTCTAGAAACATAAGCATATCAAGAAGTTTAAGCTGTACTTGGGGGGTCCCCCCTCCTCCTCCGCCACCCCACATGCTCATTCACGAACTACGTATCTTATAGACCAGGCATATTAAATGAGATCATTAGGGGTAAGAAGAATTGGAATTCTGCATTTGGCACATTTAGAAACTGTTTCCTCCTCTTCTTTTCCTCTTCTTTCAGAAATTACTTAAACTTTCTCACTCTTTTCTTGCAGTTGGTACTAAAGGAATTTGAGGGTGGTGGGTAGGTTTTCAGCCTTTTCCATGGGTGTTTTTCTTGGAAGACCCTGGGGAGGGGTGGGGCAGTATGTATTTGAATGACTTTTGCAAATGGAACAGGCTATATAGTTTGCTCTTGGCCTTCTGGGAGATATAATACATAGATTGCTCAATTCAGGCAGAAATGGATTATGGGAAAGGCTGGGAGGTAGACAGAAGGGAGACATCTGTTGCTTTATGATAAAAAAAATTACCAAGCGTATAGGTATTGATAGCTTGTAAAATTCCCACTGGCATTCCTCCTGAAAGCTTTGATGTATTTTTCTCAGGAACAGCCATGACCAGCAATATTTTTCCTTGGGGATTGACATTTTAATCTGTCCTGAAGAGTTTTTTCACCCCACCCCACCATACCCACCCCACTTAAAGCAAGACACTCAGCTGATACTACCATATCTGCAATTCATGTGTCCCACATGGGCACAACTCAACCCACCGGCTTTCCTCTCAGTGGACACCTGGATAACCTGATGCTTGAAAAAGAGCTCACTTGAGTTCGGGTTTCATTCCAACACCTCCAGCATGGGGAAACGTCCTTGCAAATGGCCCTGCTCTCGCTTCCTAACCTCAAATCCCCTAACTTCTTCGGCCTGAAAAGGACCCTCATCCATTGGCGCAGAATTGGATGTGACCACCGGCTGTAAAGGGGAGCAAATTGGGAAAGATCTAAAGCACCCCTCATCCCGCTCTAACCCCCAAAGCCCCTGAGTCAGTAGAGACAGAAGGCCAAGCTCGGCCTTTTGAAAGCCAGTTTCTTTTTATACCATTAACTCTCTCCCCGGATTTGGTGTTAACTAATTTCTGTAATGAACAAGTTATAAGAATGAAGCATCATATTTTCCTCCTCGTTCTCTTGATCAGGAGCCAAGAGTCCTACTTTCAAATGGTGGGTGATGGTGTTGCCTATGTTGCCTGTTAGGGTGGCACCTCTCTCCCAGGTCAAGACCAGAAAGACATGATCTGGGAGCAGGAGAAAGTCTAGGGGCTGCAGTTCAAGAGATGTGCTGACTCACCTACAGAAGCTACTGACAGAGTGGGTGTCTGTTTCTCTTTCAGAAGTGCCTAACTGCCAGTCGTCCTATATCAGAGGGGGGTATTTCTCCAGCAGCCATGAAGGTAAGTAACTTTTAAAAAAAAATAATATTCAAGCAAGCTTAAAATTTCTCAGCTTCCAGGCTAAGATTTGGGATCATAGATAGGTTAAACCTTTCTTAAGTCATGAAAATGAGAGCTAATTGATGGTAACCTTCAGTTATTTTGAGGCACACTCCTGAATGCAGTGAGGGCCACCATCATTTTCAATAGTAATGACTCTCACTTTTCAGAGGTCACGGGATAATATGAAGAAAAAATAAACCAATCTGGTTTCCCCATTTCCATCCAGGGAGGTGTATGTAGCTGTTTATAACATTATCAGCCTGAACTAGAACTTGGGAATGTGTGAACACTTGAGATGGTACATTTAGGACTTCTCTGAACACTGAAACGGGGAAGGGTTTTTTTCTTAGAACATTTTCCCCAGAAGTACATCTTGTTTTTTGTCCTAAAGATTTACTTATTGATTTATTTGACAGAGAGAAACACAGCAAGAGAGGGAACACAAGCAGGGGGAGTGGGAGAGGGAGAAGCAGGCTTCCTGCCGAGCAGGGAGCCCGATGCAGGGCTCGATCCCAGCACCCTGGGATCATGACCCAAGCTGAAGGCAGACGCCTAACGACTGAGTTGTTTTTTGTCCTATACATCTGTCCTTAAATACCCAGGGCAGTGTGATTCCCCAAACCCATGGCATCAGCTTCACCTGGGATCTGTTGGAAATGCAGGTTCTCGGGACCCACCCCACACTACTGACTCAGAGGCTCCAGGGGCCCAGCACTCTGGGTTGTGACACGCCTTCCAGGGGGTCCTGATACACGCTCAGTTTTGAGAACTACTCTAGCATGGGGAGTCGCAGCTTTGGTTGCACGTTAGAATCAGCTGGGAGCTTTTAAAACTTTTGGTGTCTGAGCTTCACTCAGAACAAGTAAATCAGAAATTCTGGGGTGGGGCTTAGGCATTAGTCCTTTTTAAAGGTCCCCAGGTGATTCCAGTGTGCATCCAAGGAGGACTGAAAAGCTCATAAAACAGTACTAGGAAGCATCTGCTGTCTTTTAAGTGATTGTTTCACAAGCGTGATTTCTATGGGTAGCTGCTTCCCGCTGACCTGGTGAGAGGGAACACCCAGTGGGGTTGCGCTGCGTGCCCGAGAATATTCTGAGTGTTTGTCCAGCCCTGGGAAGGAAGAGCTGTCTACCGGACCTCTGACTGTGATCGATCGGCACAGCTGTGTGGGGCTCTCTTCCAGGTTCCCAAATGTTTCTGCGGCAGCAACTGATGTCTGCAGCAGGCAAACTGGGAGGGAGTGGGGGAAGAGAAGGAGGAAAACATTGTGCATAATTACAACATTTAGAAAGGAGCATGCTCTTACAGGAAATATTTTTAGTAAAGCATTGGACTGCTTACTACACACACAATATCTGGAGAGTTTGTGTGTTTTCCCCCTACTCTTTCCCATTCCTCTCCCTGACCGCCCCCCCATGCATCGGAGAAGCTAGTTTCAAAGAGACCTGCATTCTTAATTACTCTAAATTACCATGATGTGGCTTCTCCTTCCTTCTTCTGTAGGCTTCACCATGGATGCCAGTTAGTGAGACAAGTGTTTCTGATTGGCATCTGCGGTTACTGAGATAGCCATCCTGCCTTAGTGCTCGTTCACCTGGAATCTCTGCGGGGCGGGTAAATCTTTCCTCTCCACTGGGCCCCTCAAACAGGTTCTTCCTTCCTGCCACCTTTGAGTGGTGGGGTGGTTGTGCCCACAACTGCTGTAACTGCTGGGGCCAATTCAGCTGACTTAATTTCACTTAAGCCAACAGCATTTTGCAGATGTTTTCGAGGAGCTTGTGGGGCAGTGACTAGAAACCGCAGATACACCGAAACGACACTCATGGGCAGGCCCTCATCTGATTGGTTTGAAAACCAAACCTAGAATTTCATTGAGATTTACATTTTTTTTCCTGTATGCTGTGAATGTATTATCCTTACCTAGAGGAAGAACAGGAAGAACAGCACTAAAAATAACACGGCAAGTTTGACAGATGTGTAAACTTTGAAGGAGTTTACTTATAATGACTTTATAATGAGGCCATTAAAACATCACTGGAGTGTCAAAATCCAAATGGAAAGTCAGGAAATTTATAGCTTCCTGGCAGCCAAGGCAAAAAAAAAAAAAAAAAAGGAAGGAAGAAAAGAAGGAAGGAAGAAAAGGGATTATGTAATTCTCGTTGATAATATAAAATATAACAATTTGTCATAAGAGTCAGTTTCCTAGTACCAGACTGGAAAATAAATTTATCATAGGAGTCGCTGAAACCCTGACTTAAAAGCTAGCATTGTATTCTTAAATCTTTTCTTAATGGAGAGTCTTTCATATTCATTCAAATATTTGTTGAGCACTTATTATGTATGAGGTGATATGAGGATACTATATTCAGGACATGGTCCTTATCCTCAAGGAATTTAGAATCCATAATGGAGACTATATAAGATAAAGCTCTCACATTATCCAATTAGTTTCTTTTGGGGGGGAGGGGGAGAGGGAGAGAGAGAATCTTCAGGCCCAGTCTCACAACCCTGACCTGAGCCAAAATCAAGAGTTGGACGCTTAACCGACTGAGCCACCCGGGTGCCCCTACAATTCATTTCTTAATAGTACTTATCAGTGTACAATTACTATCTTAATTTTTTTAACATTCATTTATTTTACACTATGTGCCAGGAACTACTCTTGACACTGAGGTATAAAGGTAAACAGATCAATGTAACAGAATATATGTTAATAACTCATAATACTCTCACACTAATTCTCATACAATTAAAGCATCTTCCCGTCTGCAAATGAGGAAGCTGGAGCACAGAGAGGTCACACAGCCCATCCAGGTCCATCATTCTGACTCCATGGCCCACACTCTATAATGCTCCACACTACCGAGTCTCACTTTTCTTTCCCTACTTTGTTATATGTCTCCTCCCGTTGGGATACAAGCTCCATGAGAGCAAGCACCGAGTCTCTATTTTCTTGTTATCCACCCTCTTTGTGTGCCTGGCATAAATATTTATTGGATTAAATAATAAATAAATGTCAATAAAATATACTTCCTTTGATATCGTGAAGCAAACAGAGAAATAGTGCTTGGGGCTGAGAAAACAAAAATGAATAATACAAACCTCAAGATAATCTCAGTTTCTTCCAAGTTGGGCAGTGCTTTCCCAGTCCCAGGCCTTTTAAACACGGCACTGGTCCTGCCAAGAAGAACTTGATCTTGGCCAATTGTGAAGAAAGAACAGCCAGTTTATTCCTTGGTGTCTTTACCCGTGGACTTTTCAAGTGCTAGCAAATCCCTCTCAGAATCTCAGGCTAGTCCTTCACTGCAGCGCAGCCTCGCGGCCTGCCCCTGCCGCACCCCCCGGCACATGCACACACACCCCTGTACTGCCCAGCCAGATGGATGGAGCCAGGGCGCTGGGCTGAGCACACGGGAGCTGCTGGGGCTCTCTGCCAAGGGGTCTGCTGGAAGAGGAGCAGGCTCAGCCACAGGGAGGGATAGGGTCCCCATCAAGCCTATTAACTGACTTTGATTTTAACCGCTGATCTTGTCAGGGTCCCTGGTGACATGACTGGGTGGTCAGCACGTAGTGCACATTAAGGGTGTGTGGACTGCGAGTGCCGGCCATCCTTCCTTCTTCTTGACCCCTTTCACTTTTTGCCCTCCTTTCCTTTCATTTCCACTTGCATGCCTTGAGCCCATCAGTTCCCCTTTTTGGACCTCTGTTTTGTTGTCTCTATAATGAATACGTTTTTATTGCTAGAAAGTCTCTTCAGATTTCTTCCATTATGTCTGGTGATAATACTTCCAACTTGCTTTTAGATTTATTGCTGGTCACAATCCTCCACAGGCCCAAGTCTTTACTCATTTTGGCAGCATTGTCTACCCTCCAAGCTCTTTCGTAATTGAATGAGGTACACGGGCAGCCTCGACAAGTCCTGGGAAAGGTTGAAATTAATATTTGCTAAAAGGAAAATGGCAAGACTATGTACAGATCACCCAAATCCTCCCGGCTAGGCCAACTGAAATAGATGAGATGTCTTTTCAGATATAAAAGCTTAGTCACAGCATCAATGACCTATAGAGACCTCATAACAAGATGGGAAGGAACTTAGTGGTGACTCAGCACTTCCCTGCAGTCTTAGCTTGAATAGCAGGAATCAACGCTTCTCTGACTGAGGCATCAGAACCCGAACACCTAAGTCCTTTTGAACCCCCCCCTACAATTCAGTCTGGCATACATTTGGCAATTAGTAGGGCTTAGGACCCGAAATAGTAGAATTCCATTTTAGTCCTTAAAGCCAGAGTTTTAGTAGAATACAGATAGAATTTATTAAGCAACATGGTCTTTCTTTTTAAATTTTCCTTCAGGTTTTTCATATGAAAAAGATCCCCGGTTGTACTTTGACGACACTTGTGTCGTTCCTGAGAGACTGGAAGGTAAGTAGCACCTCTAGTTTGTTGCTAAGCCGGAATGTCAGAAATATCGGAACACCTCAGTCTTGTGAATGCCAAGTTGGCATTAACAACTCCGTCATGCCCAGATTGTCCAAGAAACCTAAGACTAAAGTATTGCATCTATATCCTCGTCCCAAATAGGCAAAGTCAAACAAGAGCCCACCATGTATCGGGAGGGGCCTCCTTACCAGAGGCGAGGTTCTCTTCAGCTGTGGCAGTTCCTGGTTACCCTGCTTGATGACCCAGCCAATGCCCACTTTATTGCCTGGACGGGCCGTGGCATGGAATTTAAGCTGATAGAACCTGAGGAGGTAAGCACTGGTGCTGGGCTTGGATGATATTTGATTGGTTGATGATGATGATGATGATGTCTGCTCTTGTTTAGTTCTCCACTGAAGCTTTTTACTGTGTTAAGTTTGCTCTTCCTTCTCATTCAAATTCTGGCCTGGCCAATGGGCTTGGCAGTTCTCTTCCTAGTAATAGGACAATTTACAATTTGGGAACAGGCAGAGTTCTCCACTGTAGAAAACACAGAAAGTATTAGTAACACGTCTGCAAAATCAGAAGAGTGAGGCCATGAAGACATGCATCCGGATAGCATCTGTTTTCCATCTTGGAAAGTCTTTTTCAAGTGTTGTTTCAGTGATACCAACTTGTTTTGGTGTGAGTCCTCGTATGTCACAGGCTATATTTGCGGCTACACGAACATATTAATAGTATGACATTTTGGTAATATCAGAAGCAAATACCCCACCATATATTTCAAATGGCTCTACCCTAGAGAGATAAAATGATCAGAAATGGGTCAATCTTATGAGCTTAGATTTTTAAGTGTATTATGTGTCATCACAAGTTGAGAGGTAGCCTAAACCTTCATTATTTTAATAAAGAAAGAAACACCACCAGACCTATTGACAGAAAGGCCTACAGACAGCACCCAGTACCATTTCTTCAATGGGGAAAATCTACAGAACCGCTTTCCTGAATATCACATAGCAAAGTAAATTAAATCATGTTCTCAGTTTGGCATATTCCAAAGGGGTTGCTTTTAAATTTCTATTTGATTTAGACTCTAGAGAGATTATAAAGGGGGGAAAAAATGCCCTGAAAATCTGACGTAGGCTTCTTTTGGTAGCGTATACCTAGGTATTATATGCTAAACCAGCAGAGCAAAATGTATCTTTGGGTTGGGTGTAAATGAAATGGGAACAGTCCCCTTGGAAGGCATTTGAGCAAGAATGGCAGTTGTAGATGTTCAATTAACTCCAGGGCTCGCTTCAGCCCACCAAGGGTATCTGTTGGCCCTGGGGGCTTAATAGCAGGAAGTAGCCACTTGGCCCTTGATTTGGAAGAAGAATATGGTCTGAAAGTTAAGATGAGAAAAGGAGACTATGTGGATTGGAAAAATCTAAAGAATCCCGGCTGGTAGGAAGGTAAGGAAGGCTTCGCTAAAGGCAGTTATAAAAGAAGGATCTGTGGTGTTCCCTGTCTTGTATCCTTCATAAAAATGAAAGTGTGTCAATGTCTCCTATCATCAACTGTTTCCGTTAAGACTGTGTCTCCCTTCAAAGCCAGAGTTTGGTACGCCTGTGTTTTTCAAAGTTTTCTCCTGGGGCAAGTCATGTGGAAATGGAGCCATGCCCAAGATCTGTCCACCCTACATTCTTGCCCTGGTTGATAGGAGGCTTGAAGAAAGCATGTTGCCTGAACTACTGAGGCTTGCTGCAAGCACGTCTGCCATGGGGGCAGTCCTTACACTGATTTATCTCATTTCACAAACAGGAGCTTTTATTACTTTATTGCCACTGCCTCGGGCCTAAGCAGAGCCTGTGCTGTTGCAGGTAAACCTGGTTATGACCCTCTGTAAAGCTGATATTGAATCTTCTGCTCTCCTACCAGCAGGAAAGACAATGATGAACAGATGGTAAAGGGCGCCTGCTTTCATACTTCATAGAGAAACTAATATTAATCCAAAATGCTCATAAATGCCAAGTAGCCAAGTCACGTGAGAGGCCTGTGGTGGCCTTGCACCTCTCTCAGCTGACGGGACCGCTTTGTTTCAGCAGGAAGTACTTCTTTCCACCCCACCTTGAAATCCCCCGGTGCTCCACCAGCTCTGAGGGTTCGGTTCTCTGACGTTCCAGAACCGCTTCTGTTCCGCGTGCGCACTTTGGCCACAGGACATGCAGAGTACAGCATTGGTTGAGCTCTTTCCCTACTGGTTGTATAACTTTGCTGTCCCCACTCTTTGTTAAAGTCAGGAAGATACCAACTCCTCGAGAAAGCTGGAAGACGTTGTCATGGGGGGAGCTTGAAGGGTGAAGCGGAGGAGGAAGCTGTTTGGGACGTAATTGTAGGCAGCTGTGTGGCTGAGTAGTGCACTCTGGGTAATTATCCATAATATCCATTACACTGTGCATGGAAATTGTGGTTTTAGAACTGCGTTTTGGCAGGCCCCCTAATCAAATGTCTTTTGATAGTCATCCAGCTTAGCACCCTCTCAATTATGACTGACTCGGCTTTAATCTGGAGCCATTTTAACTGTGAATCTGCATTAATGAATATTTTGGGGGGTAGGGTTGTTTGTTGAACATGTGGCAGATAACTGATGCCATGGGGAGGTTTAAAAGGATGGGCTGCGAGAAAGAGCTGCTCCCCGTGCTATGGCTTGCTCTCTCTTGAAAAGGGAGGAAAAAAATGTGAGGTGTTTTTTTTTTAACTCTTTCTTGGCCTCTGTCCTCAAGATGCGTGTGATCAAAGTGATGAATGGGAAAATGAAAGAAAGAGCTGCTAACAAGCTCTTGCCTGCTCCCCTCCCCCCAGAAGTAGGGCAGCCCTCATTTCCAACAGCTTGCACTTGTGCCGCATCATGCGTTACTGGAGAAGGAGCAGCCCTGGGGAGGGCTACGGAATCACAGGGCCCCGGTCCAAGAGAATGAGTCGGTAACTTTGGCTACCAGAGTTGCTCGGAAGTCGGTGCATGTACAGAACCTCACTCCAGTAAGCAGTTGCCTATGCAAGTGACGGCAAAGAGAGGTCAAGGCTGAAGGTGAAGGATATTCCAGAATTGATTTCCACCACTGAATCCAGTAAGAAGATGAGGCCGGGCTTCCTTTCGGGTGCCCTGCATCACTTGCGGGCTCACAGCAGTTCAAGGACAGCTTTGTAGTGTCATTTCTTTGGAACAGGGTAGAAGGACATGTATTGGTTGAGCAGGTCTCCCTTGCACCACTGTTTCTGTTGGTTTAAAATGTTTATCTTCTCTAACCAAGGGATGGAGTTTTGGTGAATTGTGCCTTTTTGGCTGTTTCGAAGAGAGACTTGAATGGGTGCAGTATGGAGAAAGAAGGAGAGCCAGGGACATCGTGCGTGCCATACGGGGCCCAAGGCAAACGAATGGAAACTTCGCTTTCACACAGTCTGTTGCAAGGCAGAGGGGAATCATGGCTATTGAATTATTCTAATGTAATTAGGACAGACGCATTCTTCCTTGCTTATCAGATCATTTCTGGTATTTTTAAAGGTCATTTTAGAATCCTGATTTCAGAAGATGTTGCTTTCATTCTGCCCAGATGCTTTAAGGAAATATTTTAAGTGAAATGCTTTTTTATGATCCGCTTTTCCCATTTGCAGTCTCCCTACTTCCCATTCCATGGGTAACATCTGTTTTTTTTAAAGCTCAAAGGAATATAGTTATTTTGTGTGTTTTTTTTAAGTTTCCAAAAGTGACCTCAAATATTCAAAACATGACACCTGGTTTCCATACATTTAAAGACCTCTGAGGAGACTCCCATTTCTAGAGTTACTCTTCTCCTACACGGACAGTCGTCCTTACAAGTAGGGTTTGGATGTTGAGATACTTGAGAACAGAAATTGCTTGGCTGTCCTGACAATTGGGTAAACTCCACTAGGAAGTTTCTTGCTATAAGGCTTCTTTGCCCAAAGCTCCAATTACATCTCCCCATCACTGCACCTCAGGTGGACTGGGTTGGATATAATGCACTTCAGAACTGTTTGGGAAGCCCTGTTAATTTTTCATTAAGTGGCTAATGGTGCTGCATGTTTTAATGTCCATTCTGCAAGTCTGCTGGGAGCAGGGGATTGGATGGCAGTGGGCTGGAATGATCTGGTTCCCCCTTACTCCATGAGCTGCAGTAAGTAAACAGCTCCCAGCCCCTCGCCAATCTTATTAGAATTGAACTTCTGCTCTGCTGGCCCATTAGCAACTCACTAGTGTGTTCCTAATGTTTCAGGAATGACCATTCTAATTATTCCTTATTGACTGCTACAGAAACCATAGCACTTAATGGCAACATGTTAATGGTCTATGGGTATTGGTCAATAATTCATATGTAGAGAAACAGTAGAGAGCCTGTTTCCTCTGGGACATTAGCCAAGCCCTCTGCAATCTTAAAGTGCTAGGATTCCTCCACCTCTGGATCTCACCTCTCTTAGCAGTCGCGACTGAATCATCACCTTTGTTGAATGTTGGGTCTTGAGGGAATTAAGTATTTTTGCTTCCAGGTCAGGGAAGTGGACCACTGACCAAAGCAGTCAAATCACAGAACTGGCGCTCCTGGGATTGGGAGAATACCACTAGGCCCAGGGAATGAATTTGCATTGCTCTCTACTTTCCTGTCTCTTTAGGTTGCTCGGCGTTGGGGCATCCAAAAGAACCGGCCAGCCATGAACTATGACAAGCTCAGCCGTTCTCTACGCTATTACTACGAAAAGGGCATCATGCAGAAGGTGAGCCATTACAAGAAGCACCTAGACCATTCTGACCACTTTCAAAGAAAATGTCAAGGGCTTCTGTAATGTGACTGTTTATAATGGCTAGGAGAAAATGTTAGCCTTGTAAGTGATTCTGTGGTAGGAAAAAATCTTGGGAGAACAAACTTAAGAGTCAAATGAGATATAAAGAGTACTTTAATGCTCTTGGGAAAACGAACACCAGAGGTTGCACGTGGAACACACTATAGGAAAATTAGGCTCCCTGGTTTTACTTAAATTGCCTCTAATTACAAAAATGTCCAGAAACATAGGCCAACAATTACATCCATAAAGGAGTACATGAAGGAATCAACTTGAAGGCCTCCACTACCATAAGAGCTGAGTTGAAGTCTTTAGTTGGCAAAACACCCAGACCTCTAAATATCTTGGTTTAAGACTCTCAATAGCGTTAGAGGAGTAAGGAAATCCTATTTCTCTTTCAGAACTTACAGAAAAAAACTGGAACTCAAGTTAAAAAAAAAAAACCAAGGTTTGTAAAATGGCAGCAGAATCACCTAGTACCAGCTTGCTCTTTGCAAAATAAAGGATAAGGCGTATTTTGAGGAAACCAGCACAAATCTGAAACTCCCATGGATAGGCAGAAGATGGGAATGGTTAATCACTGGTTCATCTTTCTTAGCCACCATATTTTATGTCGTGCTGTTACCCAGATTCTAGCATATACACATTTAGGCAGGCTGTGTGGTGGGTGGCCAATAAGATGCACTTGGCAGAAGCATATGGCCATTGCCGCTGAGAACTTGTCTATGCCGAAGGCAGGCTGATCTTTCTCATAGGCAGGTCGTAATGTGACCCCATATTCCTCTCACCGTCTTAAAAAATATTAAACAGCTTGCCATGGTCCTCTGGATAAAAAAGAAAGGTGAAGATAAAGATAAAATCTTACAGACTTTCTAGTGCTTCATACAGACTGTAAGGCTATTCCCGGTCTGGGCACCATCACCCAACTCCTGTTTCCTCACCCACACTTGACTGCTCTCACTGGCACGGCCATCTTCTCTTAATTAATATAGTATTTGTTTACCAAAGAATATACAACATGTGCATGGAAGTCATCAAGCATATTTGAAAATGAAAAAAAAACCCCACCTATTAAGCTATCATCCTATTTAAGAACTAGAACATTCCGAATGCCTTCATTACCTGGCCAGCCAATCATCACTGCATCACTCCCAAGAATCTAAAGTCCTGGGACTGGGTGTCCTTTCCTGCTTCCAGTAGCACCTGCACACCTCTCTATCAGGCCCTTCTCTCTGTATTGAGTGTAAGCTCCTGTGGGGCAGAGCTGAGGGTTTGACTTCAGTGCTTGGCACAAAGTTGATAATCTAAGAAGGGTGGTTGCTCGATTTCCCCTTCTTGTAAGGTGTACAATTTAGTGGTTTTTTAAATATATTCACAGAGTTGTGCAACCATCACCACAATCAATTTTAGAAGATCTTATCACCCCAGAAAGAAACCCCAAACCCATTAGCAATCACTTTCCATTTCCCCCAAACTTCTCACACACACACACACACACACACACACACACACACACACACACTCTCTCTCTCTCTCTCTCTCTCTCTCTCTCTCTCTCTCTCTCCCTCCCCTTTTAATGTTAATACTATTAGGTGGAATCCTAAAATTCAGGAAGAAGAGCTATTATTCGTTTGCTGTTCCCAACTCCAGATCCAGTCTGAGGGAATGTGACAAGACATAATCACTTGAACTACCGACAGTGAGTTGTCCCTGTGACTAGGTCGTCAGTTGTTTCAGGAAGTAGAAGAGAACTTCATTTCTGAGAACAAGACAGGCAAAGAGTACAGGAAGGCACAAGAATGGGTTCAGATCCTAATGCTCGCATTTATTAGTTGGGTGCTTTATAGTAACCTCTCAAAGCCTCTCTTCCCAATAAAAGTGGAGATTAAAAAAAAATGCTATAATTTCACAGGGTAATATATGTGAAAATGTTCCAGAGATAATACTGTGCTACCCAATGTAAGGGATTGTTGTTATAATTATGACATGACCCATGAGTAAAAGAGAGCTGACTAAAGGTGAATGATAGCATGCCCGTGTGGGGAGAGAGGTAGAAAAGCTGTGGTCCCAAACCCTCAGCTTTTGAAAGGGAAGATTGACATGCGCAGAGGTTAAGACTCATTAGTGCCTGAACGAGGATGGGAAGCCATCCACTCCTGGCCCCTGATCTCATATTATTTCTACTATGCCCTTTTGCCTCCCTCTGCTATGTATATGTACTGGCTTTTGGGGTGGGGCATCAAGAGATTTAGTGTAAGTCTGTAGCTTAAAGAAACTAAATAGGGTTGATGGATTGTGTACATTTGCTACCCTTAAGACTTGCTTTGGCGAAGATGCCGCTTGTCCCATTTCACTCCCACAGCCCCTGATTCCTAGTGTTCGGATTCCAAAGAACGTTGGCAGCCATGTTCTGGTGACTAGACAGACATGTCACCATAAAATAAGCTTTCGGACCTATTAGGAGAATTCTGCTGTTACCTCTACAAGCTGCCACCGTAAGCAACAGATTTTTTAAACCCAAGATTTGGAAGCAAAGCCATATTTCTGCAATTAAAAGAGATTTTAGAATCACAACAGAATGACCAAAGCGCAGGGTTAACTTCAACCTTTCGAATTTTTGAGCCTAAAAATATTCATTTTATCAGTAATTTCAGCGGCCTTCCGTTGCCCCTTTGTATTACCCAAGCAAAGCGCATTATCAGGTTTGATTTTCAGTGGTAGGGGTCCTCTTGCACTGATGCTAAACGACCAGCAGAGAATAGCTGATCCCATTGACCTGGATGGCTCATCAACTACATCATGAGGCCTTCGAATCAAAACCTTTGGGTCCAATAATATTATAATGCATAAAATTCATAAAAAGGTAGTTAGCAGTTCTTCAGTGTACCAGAACCATGGAATGCATAATTAAAAACTGCAGCTAAGCCAGAAAGCAATTTTATTTGGCTTTGGAACACATTTAAATTTCCACATAGTCTCTACTGATCAGATTCCTAGCCCTTCCAAATAACAAAGCCGTACTGTGAAGACTGTGAACTTTGGTGGCAACTGAAAACAGGGTCTGACTTCTGCACATTTGCACCTGAGTTGTACGTTTGCACTTCTGCACATTTGCACCTGAGTTGTACGTTTTTGAGGTGTGCAGGGCAGCCCGGACACACCGCTTAGAGTCTATGTGTATAGTTCCCCGTGTCCTCTTTCACTTTCACTTTTCAATCCTCCTTATAACACCAAGCACCGGCCTCGACATAACCTTTCTTTCTAAGCACAGTGAGAATTTTCCTCTAAAAGAACCTAAATAAATAAGTAAATAAATAAATAAATGGCGAGCCTATCTACTGTGAATTTGAAATTCAGATGTCTTCAACTGCTGAGCAGTGGTGTCAACAAAACACTTGGCAGATAACAGGTCCCCGAGATTTGTCAAAATAAATCTGAATGATTTGGACAGTCAGCTACTAATGAGCCTCCTTTGGTCCCTGGCTCCTTGAGAACCTGATGACGTACAAATACCTCACCATCCTTCCCTGGGTTTCCCCCTCCCCCCCTGCCCTGTTCCAGCTGGGCCTGAGAAGGTGTGTTTTCTCTCCCTCAGGTGGCTGGGGAGCGATACGTCTATAAATTTGTCTGTGACCCAGATGCCCTTTTCTCCATGGCCTTCCCTGACAACCAGCGTCCGTTCCTGAAAGCAGAGTCCGAGTGTCACCTCAGCGAGGAGGATACCCTGCCGCTGACCCACTTTGAAGACAACCCGGCTTACCTCCTGGACATGGATCGCTGCAGCAGCCTCCCCTACGCCGAGGGCTTTGCTTACTAAGTTTCTGAGTGGCTGAGCGGCCGAACCCTAGAGCTAGCAGTTCCCATTCAGGCAAACGAGGGCAGTGGTTTTGTTTGTGTTTTTGGCTGTTCCTAAAGCTTGCCCTTTGAGTATTATCTGGAGAACCCAAGCTGTCTCTGGATTGGCACCCTTAAAGACAGATACCTTGGCTGGGGAGTGGGAACAGGGCAGGGGCGGAAAAGCCATCAAAAGGCTGGTGCCTCAGCTCTGATCCTGACAAGGTTTCTGGGAAGAGATTGCAATGGAGCCTCCTTCCCATGGACAATATATGCAAAGCAATACCTTGTTCAGGTTAGTGCCCACAAACCAGGGCAAGAGTGTGTGACAATCTGCATTGATCATGGACTACTAAATGCCTTTACATAGAAGGGCTCTGATTTGCACAATTTATTGAAAAAGAAATGACAAACGCATAGAACGGTCGGCTAAGAAGCTGGGGAGGCTCAACCCGCAAAGGGTTAAAAGTAGATCTTAAAATTCGGAGAGTTCTTCTAGCTCAAGCTGAAATGTTTTCCCCCTTGGTCTAGAAAGAAGGGGGGAAAGTCAGAACAGCTGTTACCCACTCCATGGTTCTCAAATAATAAACCGTTGCTACTCTTGGGAACCTTCTAGCCATGTGGTCACCGAGTAGAACAAGCCCCCTTTCTCTTCCCAGTCACACGGCTGTGTGTGGATGGCTTTCATTTTAGAAGGATGATTTACACTTTTGACAGTATTTTGTTTTGCTTTGATTCGGGGGAATCATTTTGTTTTGGTGGTTGTTTTGGAAAAACAGTTTATAAACTGATTTTTGTAGTTTTGGTATTTAAAGCAAAAAAAAAAACAAACCTTTTGGTAACTGTGCACTGCGTCCTTAGCAGGGCGGTGCTGACTGATGAAGACGCTGCAGCTTGAAAGGGGCTTTGCTGGGGGCACCCCCTTAGCCGCGCACAAGCCCACTCTATTGCCTGCTTTGTGCTTTCTGCACCAGACAGCCTGACGGAACATTTGCACCTGAGTTGTACATTTTTGAGGTGTGCAGGGCAGCCCGGACACACCGCTTAGATTCTATGTGTATAGTTCCCCGTGTCCTCTAACACGCCCTCTCTGGAAAGCATATGTACATAATACGCGTCATGTCCATTTGACACCTGGCCACCCGGTGGGAACCCTGGGGGTGTCTCCCCGGGCATGACCGATGACAACTTCCATTTCATCAGTTTGTTTTCTTTTCTTTTTTTTTTTTTTCTTTAATCCTTGGACTTTAAACCTTGCATATGATTCAATAGGGTTTGAGATGTACGTGTGACACTGACAGGTAAAAAAACAGTGCTAGCATTTTAGTTTCCCACCACCTTAAAAAAAAAGAAAAAGAAAAAGGTTTACTCCGGTTGCTGTATGATATTGGAAAAGTTTTCCACCACCCAGCTAAAGCGAAGTGCAAGTCGGCCTCAGAGTAGAGGAGAAGTTCCTAGGAAGTGGTAGTGTCTTGCTGCCTGCTCCGCTGATAGGATCCCGCGCCCCCCGCGGCACTTAGCGCGCTGAGAATGACCGCTGGGCTGCGTCCGCGCCACGCAGTGCTGACCCGGTGAGGGGAAGAAACATGCTTTGAGTTGTTTGCCTCTGACTGGGGCGCGCGCCCGTCTCCGCCAGTCCGCCTTCTGACCAGCAGCAGCACGTTTGCGAAGAGGTTCATAGGGAGAAGGGGTGCGTTTTATAGCTATGAACACATGAGGTTTTCCTCTATTGGAAGCTAATTAGCCCGCCAAGGTGTTAAACCTCTAGCTTGGGCCTTAATTAGCATTGTACTCTAATCAAAGGACTCTTTCCCAACCATATTTATAGCTCTCTAACCTACACATAGTCTATATATAGATGCATATTTTACCCCCAGCTGGCTAGAGATTTATTTGTTGTAAATGCTGTATAGGATTTTGTTTTGTTGGGTTTTTTTTTTGTTGTTGTTGTTGTTGTTTTCTTTCTTATCCTGGTTTGGGTTTCCTTTTTTTGATGGATTTATGCTGTCTTAGCAAGTATGAAAATAACCCTCTGTAGCCTGAGCCCCCCCCCCCCCCGCTGTAACTATGGGGCCTGTACTGTCGCGGGACACAGGATGGCGCATCACTGTTGCATCCCCATTAGACTCATGCACCTCCCGGATGGTTTTGGTTTTTTATTTGTTTTGTTTTGTTTTTGCTTCTTTTCCAGAGTGTGGAAAGTCTACAGTGCAGAAAGGCTTTAACCTGCCAGTTGATTTGAAATACTTTACCCTGCGCAGGGCCGTATGCATCCTGCCAAGCTGCGTTATATTCTGTACTGTGTACAATAAAGAAGTTTGCTTTCAGTTTACCAAGTGCCTGAAACCTGCCTCTTTCTTGCCCTCTGTGGTCTAATTTGAAAGCAAGCAGAAGCCACCTGGCTTCCTCTCTCTCGTTCCCTCTCTATCTCTCTCCCCCCCACACCCCATTCTCCCTCTGTCCCTCTCAGTTATTTAGCCTTACCAGTGGACTGGGGTGGAGACGAATTAAAGGAACTGTTACTTGGAAATAGAAGTGCATAGTGCTCTTTGGCCTCACCTCTTAAACTCTAGCTAAAAATTGAATCAGAAGCACTAGGAGGTAGAGAGGTCCTCTTCCTCAGCCAATGGTGAGCTGAGACCACCCCATCTCCTTGAGCCCACCTACCTGCTCAAAATTAGTAACCATTTTTTAAAGCTTAGCTCCTGTTTGGACCCTGGATTGTGTGCAAGATTACTAATTAGGCTAGGACTGTGAGTTCCAGAGTGATTCTAGCTCAGCCTCTTGGATACATACTTGCAAAAACAGTAAGCACCTAAGAAGTTCCTCCTTACTAATTTCCCCCCAACAAGCTTTAATCAAAATTTTTACCAATACCAGGCTGTTCCTTTGGGAAGGACAACAAAGACTTCAGAAAGTCTTGGCCTGTTTTTTTCCTAGACGGGCAGCAAAAGGAATTTTTTTCCCAGTGCGTCTTCTGGTGGGCATGTACCGATCGCGCGGGGCAGGTGTGGTGGAAGGAAATACAGGGTGCAGGGCTGTGCGCCGGGCTGTGTGCGGGGTGGGGCTGTTCCCTGTTCCTTTTTCACGCTTTTCTGCACCTTCCTTTGGGCTTTTCAAGACTCCTATTACAGGAGAGAAATAAGTAGAACCTTTTTTCAGGCCTCTAACAGAAGGCTTTCTGTAAGTTTATCTACTATCTTTCACTGTTTTACAAGCCCATAAGTGTACAAACATCTGAGACTGAATCCATGCACAGTGGCTTGAATTGGAGCTTGTGAGGCCTGAATGCCTGCCTCATAAACCCATTAGCTTCGACAGATTAAGAAAAGATGCTTGGAGAGAAGGCAAGGGAGCCGAGGACAAAGCGAGCTTCACCACGATAAGGCTATGACAATCAGTTTCCCATTATTCATGGGCTCATTATCCAGCCCGGGCCCAGCCCCAGATCGTTAACCTAATGCGGGAGGTCACCAAACACTGGGCCGCCCTTCTAGCGTTGGGCACTAGGATAAGGAAGCCCAGAAAATGTGAAGTTTACTCTTCATCGAGGTCCCCTTTCATGAGCCAGGCCAGGCAAACAATGCTTACTCAGTTGTTAGATGACAAAGAGGTAGTGTGAGGGCAAAAGAATGTGATCACGAGAGCCAGGGTATGTGCAGAATCTAAATTCTAATGCAGCTGGGACAAACGTAAACTAATGTGGAAGAAAAACACTCATGTACCCAGACGGTTGGACACCTTACACAATCCGTTGCCTGGTGGTGCAGGTGGCTGGAGCTCTGTGTGTGGCCTCTGGAACACAAGCAAAAGGGGAAAAGGCCAGAAAAGCATCAGTTTTAGTACATATATATGTAAGCATTGATTTTATTTAGCATAAGTGCCCCGTACTTGAAGTAGGCGGTGGGAGTGAGAGTGGAGCACAAACAAGCCCGGGCGTCCTGATCCCGGCAAATACACCGAGGTCCCAGACACGAGTCCTTGAGCGACCAGCCTTTCTTCAGCTCCTCCAATTTAAGACCTGAATCCATACCCAAACCTTGGTTTATTGACCTTGGCAGTGAAGCTCAGATAGCTAACCTTTGAATGCCACTTAACAGTTTACAGAGCACTTTTTCGTCCCCATTATCTTTTCGGCAGACTTTCTTAAATGGTAACACTCTGTTGAAATTGAATCTGAAAATATGGCTGTGAGCCTCCCAAAGTACTTTCTTGGAAAGTTCACAGTAGCTACCGTGGGACGAGGACTAGACACAGGGGTTCTGGCCCCAGCTCCGGGACTGACTGGATTAACTCAGTGATCTCAGGGCCATCCTGGCCTAACCTCCCAGATCAGTGAGGGCACTGACGAGACGAGCCGATATTCGGGATCTCTTAGGAGGTATGGGAGAAAGGAGTTCCTTTGGGAATTCAAGGGGTGTGTGTGTGTGTGTGTGTGTGTGTGTGTGTGTGTGTGTGTGTCTGCATACACATGCCTGCTAAGGTTTAACAGCTAAAAACATCCTCTTTACCTTTAAGGAAGCTCTGAAGATTGCTGAGTCCCACCATCAAAGGTTTATGTTTGTTCATCTCCCAAGCCTCTACTGAGCACCTGCTAGAAGGCAGGCACTGCTGGATGCTGAAAACAAATGATTTCAGATGGCATTTTTCAAATAAAGCCCTGTTCGTGGCACGGTAATACCTTATGACTCCTTAAATGCTGTAGTCGCCAGCTCATGGTGGCTCAGACTCAAACGCCGCTGACCCCACCTTCTGTGGACCACACTGACCAGAGGCTGAGGAGGGTGGGCATTTCTCCACCAACTCCTGCCCCAGCTGGCTGAGGGTGGTTTCCAGGGATGTGAACTCTTCGGTGCACTTCCTACCAGGAAGAACAGAGGGTAGGCCCAGGGGTCCGTGTGCAGGGAGCTGTCGGTGGACATAGTAACTCAGGTGGGCTGAGGGGACATGGAGCAGGTATGGGGCGGGTGGCTACACCTACTTCTCACATTAGCAGGGCTCTCCTGGATGACCTTGGTTTTGTGGTCTCCATACTTAAGGTGGGTGATTCTTTGCTTCCCTCATTCTGTTAACAAACATATAGCAAGCATTTCTTTCGTATAAGACCCTGCAATAGATGCTCTGAGGCAGGGGTGGGGGTGAGGGTCATACAGAGAAACCCACCCTCCCCTTAAACAGCTCACAGGCTAGTGGGGAAAATGGTTTTCTACATGAAACTAGAATACAAGTTATAACTTACTATTACTCATCCAGTAAATTGGGCCTATGCTATGCCAGGCACAGCTCTAGGATTAGTGGAAGGAAAAAAAATAGGTACCAGTCTCTGCTCTCAGGGATCTTACATCTGGGGAAGGGGGTAAAAAACCCATGAAACAAATAGTCACGGTATTCATTAGATGGTGTTAAGTACTAGGGGGAACAATAAAGTAGGAAAGGGAAATAGTGAATGGTGAAGTGTGGGGATTGCGATTCTCAGCAGGGATGTCAGGGAAGACCTCACAGCTGGGCAAAGACTTGAAAAAAATAAAGTAGCCAGATGGATATCTGAAGGAAAAGCATGTAGACAGAGGGAAGAGCAAGTGCAAGGCCCTGAAACTGAATACATGTGGAATATTTAGGAATAGCAAGGCCTGTGACTCCAGATCAGAGGGAGGAGATGGGGGCATACTAAGAGACAAAGGCAGAAAGAAGGAATTGTATTATCTAGGGCCAGGCAGGCTCTTTAAAGACTCTGGCTTTTGCTCTGTTAATGTCTAGCTGTTAGAGGTTTTGAGAGAGAAGTGACATAATCTGACCTATATTTTAAAGGACCACTCTGGCCGCTGAGTTGAAAATAGGTCCTAGGGGAACAGGGAAGGAAACACAACCAAGTAGTAGGCTATATGGTAATGCAGGCGAGGTAACATGTGGTTTGGTCCAGGGCGCCAAGGGGTCATAGTCTGGGTATATTTTTAAGGTAGAGCCAATAGGTTTTAGATGTTTAGAGTGAGAGAAAGGGAGGAGTCAGTGTGGCTCCAAGGATTTTTGGCCTGAGTACAAGGAATTGAGAAGTTGCCATTTACAGCTACTTACTGAGATAGAAGAAGAGAAATTGGGAGTGTGAGTGGGGGAAGAACAGGCATCCTATTTTGAACATATTAACTTTGAGATGCCTATTAGAAATCCAAATGGGAACATCAATTCAGATATACAAGTCAGGAGTTCAGGGGAAAGATCCAGACTGCAGAGACAAAGAAGTCGTCAGTGTGTATTTAAAGCTGAAGCTGGATGAGATCACTAAGGGAATGTGAACCCAACTAGATAGAAAAAAGAAAAGTTCCCAGGAATGAGCCCTAAGGACTTCAAGATTAAGAGGTTGAGGCGATGGAGAAGAACCGTCAGAGGAGAAGGGGGGACAGTGGCTAGTCAGGTACGGACAATCAGAACAGTATCTCCAGGCGAAAGGAGAAATCAATATGGCAGATGCTTCTGATACCCTGTCAGTAGGGTGAGGACGGAATTAGCAACACGGAGGTCATGGATCACTTGCGAATGTCCACAGAGTGAGAGAAAGAGACACAACCGAATGATTCGAAGGCGGTTTGAGGCAGGGATCAGAGAAGGCTCCATGGGTTCAGAATCCTGGGCCTGAGTTCAGCTCAGACTCTCTCACTAGCCCTTCTATTCCCTGACTCTCAAAGTCTGAAAGAGCCCTGGGTACCCCTGCCAGGTGTCCTGCCCAGAAGGTATTGGTGAGCGATTCGGGGATAGAGGAGGAGAGATCACATTGCTGTCACCACCATCTTTGCCATTCCTATGGGACTCTGTTCTTGTTCTGTGCTCTTAAATTTCTTTTTTCGAAATGTTAAGTGTTTTTAAATAACCTTTTTTCATATTACACAATTAGCATATGTTCTTTGTAGAAAAACAGAAAAACAGAAAAACCTTAGCCCATATTTAAAACCATTCTGAAAACTCCACCTAGAAATCACAGGTAACACTTTATCATACATCCTTCCACATGGCTTTTCTTTTTTTTTTAATTTATTTATTTGAGAGAGAGACAGAGAGAGCGTGAGCAGGGGGAGGGGCAGAGGAAGAGAGAGAGAGAGAGAGAGAGAATCCTCAAGCAGACTCCCCACTGAGCGAGGCGCCCAACAGGGGGCTCAATCCCAGGACCCTGAGATCATGACCTGAGCCGAAATCAAGAGTCAGTCACTTAACCAACTTAGCCACCCAGGAGCCCCATCCACATGGCTTTTCGCTGTATTGTTATTTATTTATAAAAATAAGGTCATGCTATACAGTGAACATAGATTTCTAACTTATTTTTTAAACAATATATTTTTAATA